GGACTGAGACAGAAAAGCAGCCCCCACCAGCTGGTGAACACCTCTGGTGAACGTGAACAGTGCTCCGGAGACAGGGCCGCTGGCCGAGCAGGATGGGACAGACGTGAGCAGGGCCACTCCGGAACGTGTCTGACACAGAGGACACGTGAGCCTCGTCCAAACCACAGCGTGACCCAGCCCCCTCGGCCTGGTGCGTAGCTAAGGACCAACCACCACCTTCGCCAGGTCTCCCCTCCTAGTAAGCCTCAGCAAGACACCCAACCAGAGGGGGCCCCGATAGCATGCACTGCCTTGAAGATGCCCTCAGAGCACCTGGCACAGGCCCCAGCCCATGTGGGGTCCTTTCTAATGCCCTCTTGCTGGAAGCCCCAAATCCCCCACAGTGTGGGTTCTCCCTGGCTGCTACAAGAAGATAGACTGCCTTGCTCCAATCCAGGTGTATACTGGGGTGTATACTGGAGAATGCTGGGGTATATACTGGGGACCACTGGAGGGCAGTGATGAAAAGATGAAGTCAACGCATAGAGTGAAAAATTGCTGACCCTCTCAGCAAAACGCAGCCTAACTCTTATCTCAAACTCACTTCACACGGACCTGCCTGAGGTCTGGCCAAGTCGGACACCTGGAACTGTTTTCATAGCGCCAGTGGAAGAGGTGCCCTCTGTCCCGCAATTCAGCAACAGTAACCACCTACTAGGAAGGAGCGCAAAACTAGACAAGAAGAAGGTGCTGGTGGCGGCAGCCAGGGTACTAACCTCCAGGCTGTCAGAACATAGCGCCCATGCACTGCGCTGCTGTCCCCAAGCTTCCCTGGAAAAGGGGGGTGCAGACCCAGGATGCCTGGCGGCCCTTCATTGCGATCCTTGCCATGAAAGCCAGTAGCCTTTTGTTTCACTGTTTCTTATTTTGCCCCTTCTCTAGTTTCACCAGGGACCCTTGCACCCACCTCCTGCGCAGCTGTGGTGAAATCACTTCCTCTCTTAAAAGCCCTGGCCTCAGCTCCCAGGGTTGGGACAGCTGACAGAAATCTGGACCAGTCCCCTGCCATGTTTCAGATGAAGGCGGCCTCACCCAGCTAGTTAATGCAAAGGAGCGTGTAACCCACTGAGGGGGCCTAGAATCTTTGACACTGTGATCCTCAACTTTGGCTGCTCTGTGAAATCACCCAAGAGCTTTAAAACCTACAGCTGCTGCCTGGGCCCTGACCCAGAGGCAGCCTGGGGCAGGATTACTAACAAATATATTGAAAACCCAAGAATTCCCAGTGGCAGGTCAAGGGTGCCCCTGCCAACGCCAGAGGCAGTGTGAGATCCAGGCGGCAAAAGGGAGGGGAGAGCGGTGTGTCAACAAAAGTGGGGTGTGAAGGAAAGGACGCTCCATGGCGAGGGTAAGGGCTACGGGTGCTTCGAGGGTGGTGATGGCGCAGTCACAGATATGTGAGGAGGTGTGTGGCTCTTCCCCAGACCATGTCCAGTGTTGAGGTAACCAGCGTTACCTCAATCAAGGAAAAAGAGAAATCCAACCGAAGAAACTAAAAGCATTGTGAACCCTGCGAGATAGCACCCCATTCACACCCAGGATCATGGCTGTAGTGTCAGGAAGCAAATAAATACAGTTCTCACCTCCCAAGTGAACAAATGTGGGCAAATAGTCAGAAAATAGATCGGCGCCCTCATATGTGGCTGGTGGGAATGTAAAATGATGCAGCCGCGGTGGATCGCGGTTCTGCGAAGTTAACCGGTGAGTTACCATGGACCCAGCAGCTTCCTCTCGGCCGTAACCCAAGAGAACAGGAAAGAGGTACTCAAACAAAAAGTCGTGCACACATTTATAGCAGCACTATTCACAACAGCCCAAGGCTGGAAACAGCCAAATGCCCTCAGCAGGTGAACGGCTATGAGAAAGAAGGAAGCACTGCCCCGCGTGCCACCCGTGACGTCTGGGACCATTCCGCTACCGACGGGCCAGGACGGCCGGGGCTGCGTGACTGCACCTCAGAAGTCCAGAAGACTAAATCACAGAAAGCAGCTTGGCGGTGGCCAGCCCCTGGGGGGAGCAGAGAGGGATGTGACTGCTTAACAGGGACTGGGTTTCCTTTCGGGGGAGGAAAAATGTCTTCCATTAGATCTAGGTTTTGGAGGCTCAGCTTCACAGGTTATGAGATGTCCGTGAGTTGGTGTAAAATGACCCATTCTGTCATGTGATTTTTACCTCAATGTAAAAAACAAAAACAAACAAAAAAAAGAACTAAAAAACCTAAAAAACAACTTGTAGTCAAATCAAGTTTGGAAATAGTGCTGAATGGAGATTTTTAGTAAGTGGATTTCATGACCTGAAGCAAATTTCAAGTCAACTCCTGATGGGCGGGAGCTGAAGGCTGACTGGGAAACCAACCAGATTTTCTTCTGGGTTCCCCCACCCCCCACCCCCGCCTGAGCAAAGAGGACGGTCGAGCGGTCGTGGTGGTCCTGGGCCCTGTGTGGGGCAGAGGCTTCTGACTCCAGAGGCAGCACTGCCAGGCTCTTTGCAAGTGCCCAGAAGAAGGGCTCTTCTCAGTCCTGGCCCCAAAACCACCCCTAAATGCAGGTCTTCCCTCACATCTCTGTTGATAAACAGATTCTTAAGTCAAAAAATGCCAAATATTTTCAGACCTAAGAGGAAGGACTGCTCCTGCGCACAGCCCAAGAAGGTTCTGGAGTCGGCATCTGCGTTGGACCACCAGGGCTGGGTGGTGAGCCCTCCTGACATTGCTTCTTCAGTCTCAGGTGCCAACTTACTTCATCACAGTCGCCCAGGAGGTTAGTGCAGTCATTCCCGTTTTACAAGTGGGTGAAGTGAGCAGCAAAATGTTAGGTAGCTAGAAAATGCTACAAGCATCCAAGAACCCAGGCAGATGGATCTGACAGCTGGCTCTTCACCTCTTCTCTGTGCTACCTCAGATGGCCCTGCCTGTTGCCTCAAAGTGTCCCCACTTTTCTTACCACTCCCCAAACCCAAGGTGTATGAGACTGTCCGTCTCTCACTAGCAGGCACCCTCTTACCAGGGAGAGCGTGAGGAGAAAGGGCGTTCTGCCTCCCCATCTTTGGAGCTACTGCCTGTTGGTACCAAACAACCTCTGGGGTGAATCCCTACCCCACCTCCTACTAGTGGTGTGACAGTAGAGGGGTCCATCAACTTCTCTGTGCTTCCGTTCCCCTCTGTAAAATGAAGCCAATAGTGAGAGCCACCTCGGAGTTGCTGCCAGGATTAAGCAAGCACAGATACAACAGCATCTGACAAGTGGTAGGCAGGTGTCAAGGTAGGTGCCGCTATCAGTATGACACACCCTATGCTAGGATAGGATCACGCTCCTGCAAGGAGCCTGACTTTGCCCCTGTGCTCCCAGTGCTTAGCCCTAGAACACATGAGTGTCTTTGGAAACAAACTGAGCTACAGAACATCATGCTTGATGCCCCAAAGGACTCCAAGCAGAGACCTAGCTCCCTGGGATTGACATTGGGAAAGGGAGGTGTGGATGACAGCCAGCCCTTGCCCACAGCCCAGTCAGAAGCCCCTTACAAGTCAGTCATTGGTAGAACCCTCTAGATGATCACTTAAGTCAATGATAAAATAGGCTTCCCTGGAGACATTTCAAGCCAGCACCCTGAGTACCAGCCATAATCCACATTTGTGTGCCTGCTGACACTTCTAGAAGCAATGTGTAGAACGCAGAAAGAGGGGGCCTCCTTGGTGGAGCAAGGGGTTATATCTCAGCACTGTGGCAGCCACAGCAGCACAAGTTCGATCCCCAGCCAGGGAGCTAACCCAGATGGCCCAGCAGACCTGTCCTGTCTCCCCGCTGCTCCCCTCAGCAGTGTATTTCAGTCCATCTGCCTGTTCTGTTCCTACTCTGTCTCTGGTGAATCCTCTCACCCCCTGCACCTCTGGCCTGCATCCCAGCTCTTGTATGCATCAATAAATAAATCTTTTTTAAAAAATGAAAAGATTGTGGTAATAAAAAAGGAAATTCACTTGCATTTTTTTCTAAAAAAAAAAAAATGAAAAGAACACAGATGGATACATCAGCCTGTCATTACCCTGAAGCCACTCCTATCAGCCCTCCCTGCAGGCTCACGGTGCCGAGATGTATCTGCACACACCCAGAGAGCTCCTCCAGCTTGAAAAACCCTGACTTAAAGGGAAGACCTGCAGTCCGAGACTTCCCTCAGCCTGGAGAAGACACACTGTGCTAGCCTCTCCTGAGAGGGTACCGCACTCTTCCTCCTCTGATATTCCATACCAAGCCTTCATCTCCACACCGACTTTTCTTTTTCCTTCCATTTCCAGCAAAGAATGGTACACAGAGGGAGGAACTTAATGGTTGGCATGCATTACCTAAACACCTAATGCATTACCTAATGCCCAAGAATGGTGTCATCAAAATTATTACCAAAGCAAGTAATAGAGCATGCTGTGGCCCAAAGAAGTAACTGGCTGCCTTCCCTTCTGAAGGCAGCATTAACTGCAGCTATACTTGAAGATGTGACTGAATTCTCAATTACTAGTGCTTCTTAAATATAGCCATTCTGTAAGATCGATTCCTTTCTTCCTTAGACTGTGAAGGGGCAGGTCAACAGAATGTTTTGTCAGCTGGCCTGAATCCTAATCTAAATTCTTGCACTGGTTTGCTGATGACCTTTGACAAAGACCTAATCGTTGGGACCTAAATTTCTTCATCTGTGAAGGCGGTATTATAACAGCAACTCTTTTGACACAGTTGTTCTGAGGAGCCAAAGAATTATTAGAACTATCGCACTTAGAACAGTGCCTGGCACATAGAAAGCCACGTGAAAGGTTTAGATATTACTATTAATGAGTTAAGATTGATGTTTAACTGGCAGCTTCCTTGCCCCAGTCCAAATGGTGGGTATCTAAAAGTTTATGGGCCAGCTCCTCTTTAAGTCACCGTTTCCCTACAGTAGAGTTAAAAGATTGCCAGGGCCAAAGGAGGTGCACTTACCTGAAAACGCACCACCACCTCAGAGGCAGCTGAGAAGCTAACCATTGGGCATTGAACTAGATACCATCTTGTGGCACCATGCCCTTTCCCTCCAGACCCTTGGGTCTCTGTTCTCACTGGTAACACCCCCATTTCTTCAGTGGCACCCCTAGCCCAGTTCATGGGACAGGGATCAATTCTCCAGTGAGGGACTTCCCTCCTTGCGTTCATGGCGGCATGCTAACGTCTTCTCAAACATGTCCTGTGCTTTCTCTCACAACAATCTTTCCTCATGGAACTACAGTCCAGGAATTTTGAGGAACCAGCCCAAGGTCAGGTGCTTGTTAGTGAAAGGAAGGCTCAGCGACCCAGATGCTGAGGCCACACTGCCCAGACCAAGCCCCTTTTCTTCATAGTACACTGTCCTTATGTCCGCCATATCAAATGTCCACGGTGGGGCACGGTGTTGGTAAAGTACTGTGAGTTCCTCACACACGTCACTTCTAATCCTACCAGCCCATAAGTTTTCTCTTGTTTAAAGACTAGGCACTGAGGCCCAGTGATGTGCTGAGAGGCACTGGCCAGCCTGAGTTTGACTCCGGAGTCAGGAGACTTTCTCGTCTTTCATGTTGCCGCTGGGGACTGGGAACAAGAGCATGAAAAAGCACTGAATGGTTCATTTAAAACAGACTCATTCTACTTGCAGACGACTGTTGTTTTAAGGAAAGGGTGGAAGAGAAAAGAGAGACTACATGTTGGCATGCAAAAGCAAAACAACAACTAATCTTTTTTCTTGATCCTGGATCCCACTGTAGCGTCTTCAAAGCAAGTGAATTTATGCATGTTGACACAGCTCATATTTTAAAATCTTTGGCTTAGTTGTTAGCTTCCTCTGGGTACAACCAGTCCCACGACTCTGCTCTGCCGGGTCACATCCATTCTGCTGCAGTTACTGCTCACACACACACTGCAAGTCCAGCTTCCCACTCTCCACTAGGACACGCTTTCTTCTGCTTCTGCAGCACATTGCCTGGCAAAGCATGCTAATCAGAGTGGTCTTGCACTTAAGTATTGCATATTAATATTAACATTTAAAAATATGTTCATTGTGTCAGGAATTGAGTCCTTTAATAATCTTGTCTCCTTCCTTCACCAGTATTTTCAAGTATATCCTTTTCTCATTTTTGTCTGAGGTAAGTAATAGATTTTGTTTCAATCTAAGTATACCTTTTGACATTAAAAGTCCTCAAGTGAAAATGAACATATTTTATTTTAAACTTGCTCCCTTAAAAAAAACATCAGGTTACTGCACTTTGATCATTTACAATCAATCAAAAATAATTTAGGAACTTTGCATTATCATGCTTGTGTAAAAGGAATTTTTTTTCTGCAGTGCAAGAAGTCTGGGAGAATGAAAATAAAAGAATGTTCCAAGGTCCTTGCTGGTGGTCCAATAGGTTAAGCGCAGCATTATGAAGCTGTCTGCAGCCACTGCAGCAAGAGATCAATTCCCATCCAGGGAGGTGACCACGTAGTGCAGCAGACCTCTCCTGACCCGTCCGCTGCTCCCCTCAGCAGTGTATTTCAGTGGATCTCCCTGCTCTGCTCCCCACTCTGTCTCTAGTGAATCCTCTCACCCCCCCCATGCCTCTGGCCTATACCCCAACTCTTGTACATATAAATAAGAAATATTTTTTAAAATGAATGTTCCATTGTTACAAAGCAATGATAAGAGATTTAAACAGGTTTAAATCTTCTAAGTCTGTTTACTGTTCTTTGACAAAACAATGGTAAAATCACGAATGGAGCCAAATCCACCTCACGTGCCTCCTACTCTGGGGTATTGAGAAGGACCTAACACCTTTTCTGTGATCTTCTTGCCAAAAATACACAACCTCAAACTCAAACTAAGGGACCTTCCACAAAACAAATAGCCTACATTAAAAAATAAAATGTCAAGGTCGAGAAATACAAAGGCTGAGGAACTGTTCCAGGAAAGGAAACTAAGAACACATGACAAGTGTGTTTCCCTGGGCCAGGGAAGAAAAATAGCCATAGAAGATACTACTAGAACAACTGACAAAAGTGGAACAATACCTAGATTAAACAGTAGCTTTGTGGCAATGCTTTGATCAGTGTACTGTGGCTGTCTGGGAGAAAGCCCTTGGCCTGAGAAATTACACCCTCATGGGTCCTCCCTGGTGGCGCAAAGGGTTAAAGGCCAGCACTATGAAGATGTCTGCAGCATGAGTTCAATCCCTGGCCAGGGAGCTAACCTCACATGCCAGGGAGGTGACCCACATGGTGGGGAAGACTTCTCCTAACCCACCCACTGCTCCCCTCAGCAGTTACTTCAGTACATCTGCCTGTTCTGCTCCCCACTCTGTCTCTGGTGGATCTTCTCACCCCCAAACCTCTGGCCTGTACCACAGTTCTTGTATGCCTAAATAAATACATTTTTTTAAAATAAATGAAGGGCAGGTTTGAAGCAAACAGGAAAGTCGCCTCTTTGACCCTTGCACTCCACTCTCTGTTCCCAGATTTAACAACAGCAAAAAGCCCAGGAGGCGCAGGCCAGGTCCAGCCTCGTCCCCTTCGCCAGGGCTCCCGGAAGCAGGTCGCTCTCTCGGGCAACTTTGACACCGGGGTGACCTCCATGCTTGCATCAGCCTCAGTGGGGTTTCGGCTTCTCTTTGGAAAAGAAGGCACACTCTGCCCCAGTAATTCTCAGCCCAGGTGAGGGGGCAGGGGTCAAGGCCGGGAGGAACAGTCCTCAGCACTAACTGAAAGTTCATGTGTTCCCTCTTTGATCACAGCAGGACATTCTGTCCTCTGGCACCTCCGGTTGCCCTTGCTTTATCAGTCACCTGTCACGACTATCACCATATCTTCAACCCCTCAAGGCCTCACCCCTGCCCCTACAAACTCCCAACCCTGGGTCCATTCAGCATTTTGCTTTCTCCTGTCCCTCCCTCCTGTTTGTGCAGGGTAATGGGGCAGACCTCACGTGGGTGCTGACTGGCACAACCACGTAAACACACGTGTATGAGTCTGGATACATATGTATGTATATTATGTGTGCACACATACACACTTTATTTCAATTTTTTTGAAATTGTATTCACCCTATTTGGCAATCTTTGTTCACCTTTCTCACTGCTTTTAGTACTTCTTCTTTCTTCATTATTTCATACTGTTGAGGCCTCCTTTTCCTGTGGCTTCCATGATGACACATTATTTGGGTTCCTGTTACTTCATTGGCCTGATGACTCCATGCCTCGGTCCCACCCCTGATTTAATTGGTTGTGGCACCAGTTGGCTGTTTGGTCTTTTTTTTTTTAAGATTTATTTTAGTTATTTATGCATATAAGAACTGGGGTGCAGGCTAGAGGTTCGGGGGGGGTGAGAGGATTCACCAGAGACAGAGGGGGTAACAGAACAGGCAGATCTACTGAAATACACTGCTGAGGGGAGCAACGGGCAGATAGAAGAGGTCAGCTGAGCCAAGTGTGTCATCTCCCTGGCCAGAAACTGAACTCGTGCTGTGCATAGCTTCATAGTGCTAAGACTTAACCCGCTGCACCACCGAGGAGGCCCCTGGATATTGGGGCTTTTCATTCCCCCCAAATAATCATAAAGTGAGGCATGGTGGAGAGCTTCTCTTTCCACTCCTGGCTCTCACCACTTCCCCTGATTTTGGCCTTATTTGTTGGTTATATTCAACCTCTACAGTCAAGTCATCAAACTGAACTCTTTACCTTCCTCCTCAAGTTGGTCTTTCCCACATAATCTTAAACTTGAGACATGTACACACGAATCACTAGTGAAAAACAACAGACTTTGTGCCACTGTCCACTGAGCTGGCCACATCAGAAACTTTGGGCTCATTCTTGAGTCTTTCCCATAACTCGCCATACTCACCGAATCTTGCTTAAATCCAGCTCACTTATCTCACCTACCTTCAACTACCTAAATTCAAGCCTTTAGTCTTCCTAACCTGTACAGTAAAAACACTCTCTGCTATTCGTGGCCCTCTGGCTTCCACAGTTAGTGGCCGGACTACAAACGCGAAGACTCGGCAGCCTCCTGCTCACTCCTCAGCCTCTGCCAGTGGCTGCCCAATGAAGTTCAAATGTCACCTACTGTCACCTAGGGATAGCCTCGGCCTTGCTTTTCTCCCACAGCGTCTATTGCTTTTGCAGAGACACAGGGCTCTGAACTTGCTAAGTTACTGTGTCTCAAACACATCATGGTCTTTCACCGATCAGAATCTCCTTCATACAGATTCGTCAGGAAGATCAGAATTAGTGATTTGAATGATGAAGTTTCAATACCCTTATGTTTTTTCTTTTGGAAGTTTCAGTTTCAGCAACATAAATTCTTAGACCTGCTTAGCTAAGTCACAAATAAGCTTTTCCCTTTTTTTTGGAGGCCCAGTTTTATCTTGTTTGCATGCAATGTGATATACGTGAGAAAGCATGTAACGCAAATGGTCTTTTTTTTAAATTCATGATCATCTGGCAAGCATTACTTTTATTTCAAATAAATCTTGAAGGTAATCGCACAATAAAACTTGGTAAAACTCTTTGTGGCTAAGCCAACAAGCTTGGCAAAGAACTCAGAATATTAAATTTATTGTGGCCGTCTCTACCCGGTTCCCTACACCGGCAGTGAGTCATAGCATTTGCCTGAATATGCTGGACGATCATAACAACCATATCCAGGGGGTTTCTCATAAAGTCAGTTTCAGATAACTGAGCATAGATATTTTCAGTGCATATCATATAGTGGCATGATGTCACCAGAAAAACATCAGTCTCTTTGTTTTTAAATCTCAGCAAATCCAGGATTTTGACCTACGAGTTGGAGCACCATATATCATGACACATTTTTTTAATATCTAACTGAAATTCTTCCTTGACAGATGTAAAATGTTAAGAAATATCTGTACCATCGTTTTTTTACTCTGAATTGGCACTTCTTTGCAAATATGGCAATTCTTTGAAACAAAACATACCCAAAGTATTAGTCAGACAGTCCTAAATCATGAGTCAACCAAAGTGAAG